TCTTAAGGGTCTTTTCCAACCAAAATGATGCTGTGATCTTTATTTTCCAGATGTTTCTGTAAACCTTTACTTCCTCGACTTGGTACCGTATAGAAACTTCATTTTTATAACCCATTTTAACACTAAACTGGAACAATTTCAGAAAACCTCATCATAATTTGCTGAAAAATATGCTAAATCGCAAGGTGACTGGAGCAGGGGTAATAAATGTGTCTCCTGTAGACCACGTCTGACCTCGTAAGAAAACTAATCCCTATCCCTCACTCAGCAGCTCTTGGACACAGACGAGACGGCTGTTTAGAGGGCAGCAGCTCACCCCTTGCCATTATCTTTCCCCAGAGACCTTGTAAGCTTATCCCATAAGTGGTATGTGGTTTCGTATGTTGGCCTTGGAAGAGGAGGCAGAGAGCTGCAGTGTACGTTCATCAGGTGTCTTCAGGAAAGATGATGGTGGCCACCACTGCAGACGTTTGCACAGATCTGTATCAGAAGACTGAAAGACAAATAGAATAAAATCGCTCTGCATGGAGGCAATGCAACAAGAAACCATCTCTGTCAGCTCTCTGAAACAGCTTTTTACATCAACCTGTGTCTACCCAACCCAAAACCCCTAAACAGCATCCAGTCTCCTGGCAATTTTTTATTCTTCAGAGATGCAAAAGCAAGATTATTCTACGCTTTTAAAATGATCGTGTTAACAACTGGGGTTATTTGATATTTTAATTTTTTGATGCCGGCAGGAGACTTCAGGGATCAAAATACCAATTGATGTAGCAAAAACCCAGTCCTTTTGAAATTATTTTAGGTCTCTGTCAGCTGTCCGATATATACAGATTTTTTCTACCTTTTATTTTTCTATCATACACTCGGAGGTCTTCAAAAAACCCAATCCTGCCCTCCGCTACTCCCCAAACCACCCACCACAAAGCTTAACTTATGGAGCCCATTGCTTTATTGGTCTGAACACATCAAATACTGGGCTTAGTGTGAATTTATATGCATTTTTATGTACTTTATAGCCAGAAAGAAATTTGACCTTTTCAGTGAGAGCAATTGTGTGGTGAGAAGATGACCAATTTCTATTGACTGAAACTAAAGTTTCTTTTTTTCTACAGGTGACTGGATATTATTTTTAATGATTGTTGAATATGTGAAATTAATGTTATATTGTTGGATTACATCACCTTATTAGTCTTGCAATGCTTGTAAAGGAGGTTACATGCATTAATAATTAGTGTAATGAAAAACCTTAGGTGTTTAGGAGGGGTGTTTAGTGAGAAGATGATGTGTGGCACCTTGAATGAGAGAGGTGGGACTTTGGCTCTGGTCTTTGAAGGACAGAAAGGCAAATTGAAAGGCAAATTGGTTTCCTTAAGCTTGCTTGAGGCTCTGCCTCTAAGTATTGCCTGGAGCCTTCGTTGACCACATCTAGTGTGTAATACCTATAATTAAATATAAATGCATTGAACTATCACTCTTATATGTACTTAAGCTAGTTTGGATAAAAGAAAACCTTTACAAATCTCTTTTAAAGGTAGTATAATTCTAGACATTGATAATTCAAATTTGTTTTGTTAAGTATATTCTTTCTTCTTAACATAGATCCTTTCCCAGAAATTTTTTTTGAAGCCAGTAGGATGTTTGGAGAATTGCTGAACATTTTAGTAATTGTTGTGGGTTAATAATGGTCAGCAGCTCAGCCCCACGTAGCTGTTCGTTTGCTCCCCCCCAGTGGGATGGGGGAGAGGATCGTAAGCGTAAAAGTGCAAAAACTTGTGGGTTAGGTAAAGACAGTTTAATACGTAAAGCAAAACAAGGAATTCATTCACTGCTTCCCATCGGCAGGCAGGTGTTCAGCCATCTCCAGGAAAGCAGGGCTCCATCACACCTAACAGTGACTTGGGAAGACAAAGACCATCACTCCGAACATCCCCCCCTTCCTTCTTCTGCCCCCAGCTTTATATGCTGAGCATGACGTTGTATGGTATGGGATATCCCTTTGGTCAGTTGGGGTCAGCTGTCCCGGCTGTGTTCCCTCCCAACTTATTGTGCCCCCCCAGCCTCCTCGCTGGTGGGGTGGGGTGAGGAGCAGAAAAGGCCTTGACTCTATGTCAGCACTGCTCAGCAATAGCTAAAACATCCCTGTGTTATTAACACAATTTTGGTCACAAATCCAAAACATAGCACCATACCAGCTACCACGCAGAAAAATAACGCTCTCCTAGCCAAAACCACTACAGTCATTTTGCTGCTATCCTTTTAATATTATTTTTTGACATTAAAATATGTGTTGTAACTCTGGTTGGGTCTTATGGAAAATGGATGGAATCATTTTCACTCCTTGACTAGCTTGTAATGCATTTTAAGCCTCTAAGTTTTCTTTGTGAATGACACTGATTTCTGATATAACCCTATTTATTGGAAAGCTCTCGAAATAGTTTAAGAAAAATGAGCTCTTAAATAATGTTTTTCAAATTGTTCTGTTGCTATTGTGTTGTCGTGTTTTACATGGTAGCTTTTGAGTTATGTTTTAAATTTTAGAGAAGGAAAGATTAATCATTTTTTTGTATCGCCTCCAGAAGATTGCCTTTGGATTTTTCCCAATTGTATTCCAATTATTTCAACTAATTACCTCATCGAAAGCTTTCAGAACTTTTATGTTTAATTTGCGAGTTATTGTTGAATTTGAATAGTTACACAGCAGCAGAAAGAAAGAAATACGGTTTTATGTTCTGATCAGCTTTAAAAGAAAGGCATGAAAAATTGACCAGGAGTGACTTGGAGACCATGTTGTTCCATTTAAAATGTAATAAAGAGTAGTGAAATGATGATGATAGTATTATTTGGATAAAAAAAAAAATTAATGTTTTGTTTCCTGAATGCTTTTTTTTCAGTGCGTGGACCAGTTGACAAGGATCCAAGCCGAATTACAAGAGACAGTAAAAGATTTAGCTAAAGGCAAAAAGAAATATTTTGAGACTGAACAGATGGCTCAAGCAGTGCGGGAGAAAGCTGATATTGAGGCCAAGTATGTTTTTATAATAGCATATGTATAAATAATTGCGTGTGTATAAGCAGATTTGTACTTCTATTAGTTTTTACACTTGATATTATTTTACAAGAAAGATCATTGCTTTCAATGAGCTTGTGCCAATTTTTTTTTCTTTTTGCTTATATGCATTTTTGTAACCGTTTCAAGCATGCTACTACCCTTATAGTAAAGTATAACTTATTTAGGCTGGTTTCTTTAGGAAGGAAGTTAAACTTTAATTAAATGCTTTAATTTGACATTTTCAAAGGACAGCGTGTGAGCTGGGACTCTTCTTGATATTAAGGGCTGCTTACTTCCTTTTGTCTCCACAGATCTCAAATTTGGTATCAGTCCGTTTGAATGGGGAGAGGGGATGGGATGCTATTTTCCATTTTTAAAGATAATTTTTGAAGCTTCAGGTTTTTGTGCTCCTTGACATCCTAAAGAGCTTGATTTCCTTCCTTTCAGGAAAGCAAGTAACTCATATTTTCAGTCTGGAGTTTGGCCTGTCTTATGGGAGTTTGCCTCACCCTTTTTTGCAATTTTTTTTTTATTTTTATTTTTAGAAATTACTCAGAATTGTTCTCAGGGAATGAAAAGAACATATAGTTTCATTAGAGAGTTTTTCTGTCTTTCACTTTATGAGGGCTAGATGATAAAAAGAACAACTTTAATAAGATTACCTATAATACCTGAAGAAAGTAAAAACCCCCCAAACAAACAAACAAAAAAACAACCAGAACTTGAGCTTGGAAATTTTGGGACAGATTCATACTGCAGTATTGTTCAGATTAAAATAGCTGTTTACTTGATTGTGTTTTCTTATTTACTTTTTAAACCACTGTCTTTCAAATAGCTAGTAGAAATTCTTCTCTAATTTCTCTTCCATGAATCCAAATGTGAAAATTGGACCAATTCTGCTTTTAAAAATACATGTGCATACATGGGTACTCCTCCAGCTTCCTGGAATATAATTGCTAATGATTTTGCATTAATATTCCTCCAGGTGACCAGCAGTTCAAATTTATAGCACTTTGTGTCTGGAGGGCTAACTCAAAATCCATCAAACACCAAAATAACTCGAGTTGCGCCACCCAATTTCCCTTTCATGATGTATTTAAATTTTGTTCCAAAGTCAGGGTAAGCTGTGCGAAAGATTTCAGAACATGCAATGAAGATACTATTGATGTAGCTCAGCATACTTTGTAATATTTTCCTTGATCCTTAAGCTTTACTTAAAATTATACAAATAAAAATTTAGGCATAAGAAGTTATTTAGATTAAAATTTTGCAGAAGTGAAGTGCAGTGGCCTGTTTATCCTGTACTTTTGTAGAAATGGTATAAGACAGTAACGTCCTCTGTTAATTCTGTTTCAGGTCCAAACTTAGTCTTTTTCAGTCAAGAATAAGCTTGCAGAAAGCAAGTGTAAAGGTGAGTATAAGAAGAACTTAACGTTTTGCTGCTAATTTCCTGAGGCATATGACCAATGTTGTCTGAAATCTACAGATGACTGCCATTTTGGAAGGTATATTGTTAGAACAAGTGATGAGATAAGAGCACTCTTTCAGCAGTGAGAGTGCAGAATTACATTACCAAATTTACAAGGAAATTTTTTCTAGTCAGAGTTTATAGTTTATAGTTCTTTGAAGACCGTATGTGAAATGACAACTGCATGAGAGAAAAATACATTAGCAATCCCCTTACCATTAACAAAACTGTTAAGCTATTAATCCCTTAGAGTTTTGACTATATCAATACTACATATGCATGTTAATTTACTATTAATACATGTTTGGTCATTTAACTTCTCATTAGTACCTATCTTTTAACTTCCATTTCTTGTTGTAGTTAAAAGCACGACGATCTGAGTGTAATTCCAAGGCTATCCACGCAAGGAATGATTATCTTCTCACTTTAGCAGCTGCTAATGCACACCAAGATCGCTATTATCAAACAGACTTAGTAAACATTATGAAGGTAAGGAAGCTAATTTATGTGTGGGATTTGGGAAGTGTCAAAATCTGGAATGCAAAATGAGCGAAGTACAAAATCTTGGGTTGCTTTGCAACAGCAATGTTGACTTTCCCAATATGCTGCAATAGATGAGAGTGTAGTTCAGTAGAGAGATCCTCCGATAGTGTGCAGGATCTATGGTACCAATTATCAAGCCCCAAAGCTAAGCAGTCACCTTTATTTTTTAATTCACTTTTTTTCTGAAAAACTTGGATAAAGGAATCAAGTTCGTAAAACTAAGACCTGCATTTTCCTATTGTAGTTGACCTTAAGTAAGCTGGAGATTTTTTAGTTCTTCAGTAGCATATCCCATAATTCTTTTTTTGTATCTAATTATCAGAACACTTCTTTATGGTATAATTAATTAAAATGTAACCATTAAATATCTTGGTTTCAAACTATGAATTTTAGAGAAGAGCAGATCAGCATTGCTGTACTCACACGTGGCAGCTTGCCAAGTCAAGCCAAGAGTAGATACTTGAATTTATAGGAAATTACATACTTAACAGGTTCAAATATGATTGCTCACAGTTGGGTTTTTTTTAATATCATCCTAGAATTACTTAAATGTACGCTATTCCTGTATCTTAGAAGTAGGTAGTTACAGATAAATTGTAAAATCTGTAAAATCAGCTGTTTAAAGCTAATTCACACTTTATGTAGTTGCATTTCATGTATTGACATTTTCAAAGTTTATTTAAATTTGCAATCTACAAACTATTTCCAGGTGATGCAATCAGGCATGGCAACTTAGAAGTCTGTAATTTGCATTCAAAATTGCTTTATTGAAGAACTATCACTGTATTATAACAAATCACTCTATTATCAGCATGCTTTTGCATATTGGGAAAAAAAAAATTGATCTGAAAAGCAGGTAACCAAAGTAGAAAATGAGAGTGCCAAACGAGGCCTCTGAGGGATTCTTATATGTAATTCCATTATATCTTGACTAAGTTAACCACTCCTATGGCAATATGTGTGCGTGCCTCTGAGTAAATCACAGCCTGTGTTATAAATTCATTGCTATGCCTAATATCTAACTTCCTGGAAGGCTGAATCAGATCAGAAGCAATGCAGAGCTGATAGTGCTTGAGGCAGCAACCCTGTCTTTGCTCTGTGTATGTGTGATTGTGCTTTTCTTTTAGTAAAACATGAATATTTGTGCTGACTAAATGTTTAGTACATGGAAATGGTTATAAAGTAAATATTTCTTTACAGTACTGGAGATAAAATTATTAATTGATGCTTACATAAGTTAATTCCATACTTACATGCATGGTTGTCTATCATTAGTTAATGCTCTTGCTTGGAAGTAATGCCAGAAGTGAATTTAATATGTTCACAACAAAACAAACAAAAAGGACATTTGAAATAATAAAAAAATGAGCACATAGCCCAGGTAAAATTATGACTGGCTCTGGTGGGTTATGGCTGCTCTCGTCTCAGGGCATTGTAACATAATCACTGCAAAGAGATTCTCGTTTCCTCTGTACGTCTGGCTACATTTTGTGTCCATTACAAACTAAGCACATAGTGAGCTAGGCAAGATCTTAATCTCTTCGAGTTTCCATAAACATTTATGTCTTTTGGATGTTGTGGGCTTTCTGTACCATGACGTTAGAAACCTGCAGATACCCCAGGAATATGGTTGTTTTATAAGTTGCAATAAAACATCAAATTAAAAACTTTTGAATCATTTTTGAAAGACTGAAAAATACAATAATGGAAAACAAAATCATGCTGGTGCCGTTCCTCTGCATGTGTGCTGTTGTCCATAGATGTTGTATGTGCACGGGGTCCAGTTGCTAAAACTGCTGCTGATCTGTGGTGGTTTCTTTACCCACTGTTACTGGGCTCCCTCTTACCCAGTCCTTTCTTTTGTAGAACTTGTTTTGAAGCTTTTTTCAAAGTGAAGCTTTTTTTGATATGGAAACCTCTCCATGTACCCTATTCTTCTATGTAAATAATTGTGGTTTACTGGAAACCTAAGTTGCAAGTACTTTCATCGAGCCAAATTACTTTGAAAGGAAAGGACAACGTTCAGGGTTCTTTTTCTGTGTCTCTCTGATATTTATAGTAGTTGAATCTCCTCTGGTAATCTGTCTGGTAACAGCTATGTTCTTAATGAAGAACTGTAAATTCAGGTTTTTGCACTGTTGTTCATGAGCAAAAATATGTGGGAGTACACCCACATGTCGTTGCAGCAGGGTCATCCTTTGGAGCAAGGGAGAGAGTAAGTCAATGGCAAGGTCTCAAATTGAAATGGCTACTGAATGCATTTTAGAAGGGGGGGGGGAACCCTCAGGAAAATCAAGTGTAATGTATCGCTGGGCTCCAAGTTCATTCATCCAAGAGCTCTAATGTAAATTCAAACGTGAAACTGCTTAAGTATAAACAACAGTGTGTAATCTGGTGCTAAAACCCGCCTCAGTGCCAACAGAAAGCAACAAGTGTGTCCCAACCTTTGAAAAGGGCTCCAGGAAGGGCCCTGTGAATTACAGATGAAGAAATCTGACTTCCTACCAGGCAGGCTGATAAAGTAAGTGCAGTGATGAATGGAGTCAGTTCACACGCGGATAGATATGATGTGGTGGGAACAATCAACATGACTTTTTGAAGAGTCCTGCAAAAAGAGATTGTTAAGGAATCAGTAAGCCTGGGGATAAGGGTGATTCATCTGATTTAATGTCTCGAATTTGCCGGGAGCTCTCAACAGACTTCCCACTCAGTCTCTGCTTACGTAAAAGAATGACATTGTTACAGGGAGGGTGGTGAGGGTTTTCTCATAGATTAATAACTGATGAAGAGATACAGAAGATGTGGGATTAAAGTAAATACTTGGGTTTTATAAGGGAAGGAGGTTTGCTGGCAAGGTCCTGGTTTCTCTCTTACCTATCTCCTCCTTCTGAAATGTGTGTGGGAACCGTGCTGTTTAAAGTACTGAGAAAATTATTATTTTATTTAGCATAATGATTTAACATAAACAATATGCAGAAGGAACTGAGGAGAGAGGAGGTGATTTGAAGGTGAAGAATCATTCTGTATAAGCAAATGTAAAGCTTATTACCAAGGAGTGTAGTAAGATCTTGACAATTTTGGTTGACCAGGCAAGAAAATAGCACGTGAAATTCATGTTAAAAAGAGAAAAGCAGTCAGTTAGGGAGAAAATCGCTGCCTACATAATAAAGAACTCTGAATAGCCATTACCATTTAAGAAAGAGATGCTAGAACTGGAAAATGGAGTGAAGATAAAGAAATGGAGACTTTGTCTATTATATGTTTCTAATCCTTTCTCTACGTAAAGTCGCTAGGAAAAGAGGTATTTTGAAAGGGTATTAAAACCCTTTCTAGGCAGCACAGTTCCTGTTTTAATAGGTTGAGTGGTTGTGTAACCCAATATATGTTACATGCTATAATACAGTTGTATTGTCTAAACTAAGCATGTTCATTTGTGTGTTCAGATTAACATTCTAAAAATGCATCTTTTATCTTATTATTAGCAAGTCCTTAAGTATTCCTGTAGTGGTGGCCACCCTGCTATCCGTAAGTATTTCTCCATTTAGCTGCGATTGAGCTGATACGTCTTCTTCCGTTTGAACTCTGCAGGGCTGTCCGTGTTTCTAAATCACATCAAGTTTCTCGTTAAACTGTTCAGGTTTTATCTGTCTTGCAGCACTTTTGGAGTTAGTGCCTTCTTGCAGATACTCGGCTTCTTTTGTTGGTTCTCTCTTGACTGAGACTCTCAAAGACAGAAATAAGCATTCCTGAAAAATTCACTTCTCGTACCAGCTGCCCTATTTGAAAGCAAACTGGAAGACTGACTTGTGTAAGGAGCAAGTTGGGATTGTTGATACGAATCAGTAGCATCTCAAATGTCATAGGACTTACTCAGTTATATACTGTATACTCTTTCAGGATGAGTTCTGTGAATTGACGGTCATTATCTCCATTCTGTAGACCCGGTGAGATTCCTGTAACCCACACCATCTATATAGTGAGATACAACTGTAGTACCAGTTTCATTAGCTTGGTTGAAATCAGGTTCATTACCTCACCTTTTTATCAGGACAACTGTTTTTGTATGTGGCAGATATGTACATTTTCAATTATTTTCAGGCTGGTTTTCAGAGTTATTCTGTAGCCTGTAGATAAATCCTTTATCTAAATAATACTTCAGAATGTTACTTGTTTAATATAGTAACCTTCAGACTTGAAAAACAAACTACCCCACCTCCCCTACCTTCAGAATCTCCCTACTCCTCAGCTTAAGTATCAGTTTTACAATAGAGCCATTAGAAATGGGTATTAGAAAATGTGGAAAAAAAGTAATTCTGTTCTGTTTTTAAAGACAGATCTTATATATCCTTTGTCTAGAATAGTTGTTTTAAATGGCATTTAGGTATAAAATGATGGTTCCTTGGTACTGCTCCTTTGGAGTGCATCAGTATGGATTTCACTAAAGAGTTGAAGCTTTCTGTGTTTTTCTAGTTATGTTACCCAAAGATGATAAAAACTTTAGAAATGAAAGAAGCCGTGAAGTAATTTCAGCTGATACTTGGCTATATTACTGTGTAAGAAAGTAAAACTTGTGCTTATTTACAAATGTTTCAGAGACTGTTTCTGTCTGCGTCCATCATAAACAATTTCTTCGTAGGTTTTAGTTTTAATCGGGTTATTGTTTCCAGAATGAGAATTGTACTGTGTGGGTTTTGTTGGCGAGAGAGTCGTCGGCCTCTGGCTCATTTGAAGCTGGGGTTGGCTTGGCTGGAACACAGCCAGTCTCTGGCCGTGAAATGCTGCCTGCTGCTGGCTTTGGGTTTGCGTTTTAGCATAGCACTCTGAAACCAGCGCGTTGGACCGTCTGCATGTGGGACAGCACTTGCTTTCCTAGAAAACTTGAAATTTTATTCTTAACTTTGATATTAACTTGTATATATTGATAAATAGTGGATTAAAATAAATCA